TATTAATTTCCTTAAATTTTTGTCTCAGTGACTCTTTTGGTTTTAAATTATATATTGCTCTAATGGCCCTCTTCTGTAAAATAAATATAATTTCAGTGTCAGTCGCGTGTCCCCATAGCAAAACACCATACGACATAATGCTATGGAAATAACTGAAGTAAACTATTCTAGCTGTTTCAACACTGGTAAGAGTTCTAATCTTTTTTACAGCGTATGCTGCAAAACTAAGTCTGCTAGCTAGTTTTGATATATGGCGGAGCCATTGAAGCTTTGCGTCCAGTGTGATTCCAAGAAAAATGGTAGCATCAACAAGACTCAGTTGCCCCCCATTTAAAATTACATTAGTATTGACATGTTTAACATTAGGAGTTACGAATTTCATACATTTAGTATTAGTATCATTCAAATGCAAATTATTAACATTAAACCAATTGACTAACTTAGCTATAGCATTATTTACTTCGTCGTAATTTAATAACTGTCGTTTTAATTTGAAAATTAATGAAGTATCATCAGCAAATAATACTATATCATGGTTATCCCCTACTATGTAAGGTAAGTCATTAATATATACTAGAAATAGAAAAGGGCCGAGAATTGAGCCCTGAGGCTCATACTATTAATGACAACTTTATGCGTTCTGTCACTTAAATATGAAATAATTAATTATTCATATTTAGGTTCATTAAAAAAATTTAACATTTGATCAAGAATAATTTTTTCAAAAATTTTACTAAGTGTTGGCAGTACAGAAATAGGTCTAAAATTAGCGGGGTCTAATGTACTACCAGATTTAAATAAAGGTATTACTTTACTATGCTTCATTAAATCAGGAAACACACCAGATTCAATACTAGTATTAAAAATAATAGATAGTTGAGGTGCGATCGCATCTATTATAGACGCAATAACTTTAACGGAAATCCCCCACAAATCGGCGGTTCTCTTAATATCAATAGTCTTAAAATATTTTACAATATCTTTTGATGACACTTTATGAAATGTAAAATTCTTTGTACACACATTTACATTTTGTTTAAAGTAATGATTCGGTGACGGCAGGAGAAGAATTCAGTGACTTAGTGGTTAAGATCAGAATATTAGTATAATATTTCTCAAGTAAAACTTTTATTCTCAAGGTAAACCCAAGCATACCACTGCAAGACTTCAAAATACAGTTAGTTCATTCTGCGTAGATCGGACCAAAGACAATAATTAAAAAGCTGAAGGTACTCCGGGTTAACTTTGACATCGGGACGTCAGTCACCTCAGTCCCCCGTGACCATGGGTGCTGGAAAGCACCCGAAACGTCGGGTATTAAAATTAATATAAATAAAACGCGATAAAATCCGTAAAAGTAGTTTTAATCAATGTATAGTGTTCGCGTAAATATAAGAAATCATTGGTTTATGTCTTTAGGCACTGAGTTTATTAAACGTTTTGAAGTCACTTCTTCTTGATATTTAGCTTACACAACATTTGTACATCCAAATTGGCACTTTAACTTATAATTTTATTATGAACTACGAGTTGTTACGAAAGAAAACTACTTATTTATAATTATTTTTAATAAGTGTAGCACTTGTTTACGCGGCTAATAGCGCCATCTCCAACAGTAAAAATAGACAGCTGCTTAAAAATGGTATGCTTTTTGAAAGAGAAGAAAGTAAAACGATATGTGAAATAAGAATAGAAGAAGAGTTGGTCGAGCAAGTAGATGAGTTTGTATATTTGGGATGCGTATTTAGCAGGGATGGGATATGTGAGATGATAAGGATATAGAACTACGGGTGAATGCAGGAAATAGAGTAAATGGTGCCCTGCACTCTATTGTGAAGAGTCAAAATGTCTCGAAAAGGCACGTATGGCAATTTACAATGCTGTGTTGGTCCCTACTTTAACGTATGGTAGTGAAAGTTGGGTGTGGCAGAAGAAGCACGAGAGTAGAATGAACGCAGTAGAAATGCGGTCGTTAAGGAGTATGTTAGCTGAATCTGAATGACAACATGAGAAATTGTGTGATAAGATAAGAGTGTTGTTTCAAGATGATGTTCTGACCAGGATTAAAAAAGGAATGCTTCGGTGGTTTGTTCATGTGGAAAGATTAAATGAGGAAAGAGTGACAAAGAAAATTTATGTTGCAGAAGTGAATGACAGAGTCGGAAAGGGACGTCCTAGGCGAAAATTTATCGACCAAATTGGCGATTTATTGAAAACGGGCCAAATTAGGAGTACCCTTAACCGATGAGCATGTATGAGTGGGTATATGGATGAAGGAGGCAAGAGAGGTGTGTCATGATCGTGCCGAATGGAAGTCTGTAGTCTCTGCCTACCCCTCTGGGTGACAGGCGTGAGTTTTTATGTATTATATATGTAATATGTTTTTGGAAATTGGGAGTCTTAGTGAGAATGTTACACATGGGAATATTGTAAAGAAGTTTTGAAAAAAAATATTATAATATGTATACGATTTCTTATATCTTGACGCTGGCAAACCCATAAACGCGCTTACTTAACTCTCAGACTTAACCAAATAAATAAAAAAGTCTTTTTTACTCGGCATTTGACAATTGTCATTTGACATTGACGTGTCACTTCAACATCACATGCAAAGACTACATAATAATTGGATATGTTTCGAAATGTTTCGAGTATACTGGTGAATGTAAATGACGTCATTAATTGACGCCATATTGTAATGGAGTGCCGCTGCCTAATTGTGCTGGTTATCCCGCCATATTAAAACAATTTTAATTGTGTGTACGCTGAATGAAGCATGCCAAAATTTATTTTTATTTATTCAAAAACAAAAAAGTATATATAATTATTGCTGGTATCTTGATTATTTACAAATTAATTGAAACAAGATATAATAACTTTTGAAGTACAAAGTGACATGAAATAATCGTCAACACTTTTCCAATATGGCGCAAATGTATGATGTCATATACTGTCCAATGTTTTAAACGAATCACCAGTATGGCGTCGATTTATGACGTCGCTTGCATTGGCCAGTATATTGGGTTCTATTTCGGAAGATACCCTAGGGCCCGCCACACACTACATACGGAACGGAACGAACGGGTCGGCAACACACATACGGAATTCCTTTTTGCCCGCGAAACTCCGTACGCAAAACTACCGCAGGTGTGTGACGAGTCATTGAATATGAACCGTCACATCACGAATCATCAGTCTTATATGGACTTGCTGCGTTCGAAATTTCGAAACGGAATTCCGTATATATGTGGCGGGCCTTAGTCTTTAGTAACCTTCATGCAGTGTTGCCGTTTTAGCGCATTTGGCGCTAGATCTAATAGAATCTGGCGAAAAAATTGATATTAGTTGGCAGCACAGTGTGATAAAAAACACTAGCTTGTCTATCTTTTGTGATCGTTCGGGTATTCTCCGAACGCGAGTGTCCGCACGTGTGAACTATTAGAGAAAACGACACAACAAGTGCTTTGATGTCGATATAAACCTCAAGTTATTTTGATCGCTTGGGCGCCTTATGAACTTGAGTGGCTGTCGTCATCAACTGACCGTCAGATTGAGCTGTAATCAAAATCTCCCAAGGACTTCGCAATGTGACGCATCAGCATATTGTGATGAAAAAGAATATAAAATGAAGATTCCGAAAGAAATGATAGGCTCAGAAGGGCTAGAACCCAGAGCCGTAAAGCCAGTTAATAAAAAAAATGATAAGTGACCTCTACGCAAGGAGCATAGAGTAGAGTATTATATAAGGAATTTTGGCGGGAACTTGGCCGACGACGAATTGTCGTTTGAATAATGGTTTGAAGTGGATTTTATTTCGTAAAAATTATGTTATTTTGTGAATTAATTGTCTGCGCGTGTGAACTATTAGAGAAAACGACGAAACAAGTGCTTTGATGTCGATATAAACCTCAGTTATTTTGATCGCTTAGGCGCCTTATGAACTTGAGTGGTTGTCGTCATCAACTGTTCGCTGGGTTGAGCTGTCGTCAAAATCTCCCAAGAGCTTCGCAATGTGACGCATCAGCATATTGTGAAGGAAAGAAAAAAAGCGCGTGGACCTTGAAACTGAACTGATAAATCTATATGGATTGAAACTTATAAAGACTATAATATAAAGGAGACTTGGCTTTAGCCTTTGTGGTTTTTGAAAATATGAAGAATTAAAGAAAATAAGACTTGGCTTCGGCCTTTGTAGATTTTGAAAAGATGGAAAGAAGAAAATAAGACTTGATTCCGGCCTTTACGCTTTAAAATACTATATATTCAAATTTTAAAAAAAAGACAAGGCTGTATAGCATATATCCTTTGCCTGCTTTCGCGAGCGAATAATAAAAACAACAACTGTCTACGCAAGTGACATTGACGTTTCAATCAACACATGCACCTGTAGTGCAGTGTACTGTCCAATGCAAATAACGTCACGAATCGACGCTATACCGGTGATTCGTTCCAAAACATTGGACAGTATATGACGTCGTACTTTTGCGCCATTTGGAAAAATATTGGCGATTATTTTGTCATTTTGTGCTCCAAAAATCATTATATCCTCCTAATGGATGTACCATCAATTATTCTATAATTTTTTGTATTTGAATAAATAGAAACAAATTCTGGCATGCTTCATTCGCAAAACTGGCAAACACACAATTAAAAATTGTTTTATTATGGCCGGATATCCGACACAATATGGCGGCGGCACGCTAGTAAAATAAAGTGTCAAATGATACGTCATTTGCATTGGACAGTACACTGCGTTGTATTTCGGAACATACCCATAGTTAGTAATCTATGACATGCACCATGCATGCACAATCACATGTATCACACATAATGTTGGTGAAAGAGTAATTGTTGGTAATTATGTTCTGTGGTGATGAATGTACCCAATATAGAAGATAGAAGCTAAATCTTCCTTACCTTACAAATTCTAGCTCTACGACAAACGTAGTAAATACCCTTTACAATATTGTTATTGTAATCTGGAAGTGAATTAAATAATAATGATCGAAGATAAAAAAGTTGATCGTAAATGCAAGAGATTTACAGCAAGGTTGAAATCAAAAGGTATCGGTTGTTCAAATGTGCCTGGACCTGTAAGTGATCTTAGTAATTTACGTTAACTGTAATATAGATAAGAAGGATAACTGAAGGCATGAGTAATAGCACTTACCCTATATCAAATAGTATGTATGTTTTGGATTCGAATATATCTGATATGGTATCTATATATTTCGATATGTATACATCTAGTTGATCTTTCTTTTTTTATTATTATTCAAAGCCAGCGCTTAACTACAATCCCACCCGGTGTAAGTGGTGATGTAACTTAAGATGGTGAAGCACATTGACTTAACAAAAGTCTGGGGTTGGCTATAGACTTCCGGTACTTGATTTTGATAATGTTTTTAGTTTAGGAGGCTTGTTAGGGTCAAGCTTGAACCTATTACACTGTTTTTAGATGGCGGAAATGCCTTTTGAATTAATTACGATAAAAATAAATTTCACTAAAAATTTCAATAACGAAATGCAAAATATTTGTTTTTTTAACACAGATAAACTCAAAAAATTTTATGAATCGGACCCAGACAATCCATTTGTGGTTAGAGATGGGATTTATATACAACAAATTGAGTCGCAGTGGAGAGCAGTCAAGAGGTTTCTCAGAAAACAAAATTATAACAATTCACATTACATTATTTCATTTACCACTATCATAGCAGAGTTTAGGGCAACCAGACTTTATAGATAACATTGGTCAAATCTGTTCTAAAACCGAATTAGCACACGCCAACTCCACATAGTCTTGTCTGCCCTACCCCTAGAGTGTTTTTGTAAAGCCGTAGGTACGGAGGGAGAGCAGTCCCCGCCCGCTGTAGCAAATCGCAGGCACCTAAGTGAGCTGTAGAGGCTGAGGCTGGTCACCAAAGGCGACAAATAAGCCGAAGCTGCGGAGGCGAGCATAGGTGCCTGTGATTTGCTACGCAAGCACGAAGAGGCTGCACGTCCCGCAGTGCCGAAGCAGTTGCAAAAGTAACTGCGTCAATATTCCTGTATAAAAAAGTGAGGTTATGATTTACATTTCCGCAATGGGGGAAGGGTAGGGGTTCTTGGGAAGAACCCCCACCCTTCCCCTCCGCCCTCCCAACACCCTACGGCCGCTGCAGAAGTAACTTTTTGTCAATATTCCTGTATAAAAAAGTGAGGTTATAAATTTACAAAAAAAAATATTACTCATAAACTATACATTTCCGCAACTGGGGATGGGTAGGGGGGGCTTCCCATGGCCCCCTCCCCTCCCCCTCCCAACACCGTACACGAGTACCGGATGTCTATAGTTTAACCAAAGTCTATGATTCTGTAGCTTTGTAAGGAAGTTAATATGCAGGTGATACACAATTTTTGATGGATTTGGTTTGCAAAGATTTATAGATACATTATAATATCAACATAAGTTAATACATTTTGGTTACCTAATATCTATAATACTCTGAAACAAGTATGTACTACACCATAGAGTTTGAGTAGATATATCTTTAATTAATTATGTTGTCTCATATTCTTAAACTGAATGCACATTTATTAGCACCGTACACACCATTCACGTCGTATTTTAGAGTACTTCATGAGCTGGCAGTTTATCATAGACTACATTTTTTTTTTTAAGAACAAGGAGGTGATTTTTATAGGCCTGTAGTTGGATGTGTCTGAGTGGTTGCATTTTTTAGGGATTCTCCGGCCACCAGCACTTACCAAGCAAAATGCAGAGATAAACCTGTACTTCACGCTGGTATTCTCTGAGGTCATGGTACCACCCCAGGTCGAGCTGGCCCATCCATGTGACAGCAAAAGCTGCCGCGTGGCTCTACCACTGTTAAATTAAGGATATCTACTACCCTACATACATTGTCCCGTGGATGTCATAAAAGGCAACCAATGAAATGAGCACCAGTGTCTTCCTAATAACAACCATGGATGCCAACCCACCTGCCGTGCATGACAACTATGCCGCATACAAATCCTAATCATTTTTCATTTTGAATGACCGTTTAGGATCTATAACAATTTAAAAAATTGGTTAGCAACCATTCTCACATAAGTTTTCTAAACTTATAATAAAGCTGTGATAAAGGTCTTACTTGTAAATTATTATATACATGATAGAGCCATGTTACAGTTATATTAGTAGTATAGTTGTAGCATGAATGGGTCAGCTCGATCGAGGAAGGACCACACTCTCACAGAATACCAGCATATAATAGTAGCTTAATGTTGCTGTGTTTCGTATGGTAAGTATAGAGAACCGGAGACCCTTTTTACTGGAAATGAGGCATTCCATCTTAGTTCTCAGGGGTCGAGGATAGATGTAGATGTCTATGGGCCACAGCAACCACTTACCATCAGGTAGACTGTGTGCTTGTTTGTCACCCTATCCTATAAAAAAATCTATAACACTAATTGTGTTATAGATTTTTTTAAACCATGGTTTTTAAAACTGTGTTTCTATTAGTCTTGTTATAAATACCACACTGGTAAACATTTCTTAATATCCAGCTGTATAAAAAATGAGGAAAAGAAGCGGTAGGACCAGGATGTCGTAGGCAAACTCCCTCTGAGAGGGTTGATGTGAAAACTTATACTTTTAAACATATATTTTGTAAATTTTTTATAAGTAAGTGAAATTAAGTGGGGCAACATGAAACTTAAACTGGTGGGATTTTACTGCACCTAAAATTATATTTAGTAGTCAACTAAGGATTGCAACTGCTTCAGCACTGCAGAAGTGTAGCAACTTCAATCTTGCATTTTAAATCACAAGTTCTGCAGCTTTAATGATTTTTATATTTTCAGAATCTTGTTCTTTGCAATGTTGGCCAAGCTACTGGTTTAGTAAAGGATGACATTTTAAATCTTTTGAATTACCTAACTGGAATAAAACTAAAGAAGTTCATAGCAGAGAAAGGTGAATCATATTCCTTCTTGGTATTTGATACTAAAGAAAGTGCTTCAGTGTTTTTCAATGAATACAATGGAAAAAACTGTTTTAGTAATGGAACCTTTTTGTATATGTGCTATGTTGATAGTGGTAAGTATTGATCATTCACCACTACATATTATTTTATCTGCCTATAATCAAACTTGGAACAGGAATCATTTTCCCCTTTTCATTCTTTAAGAAGTTTCAACAAACTGAAAGAGTTTGTTTCAACAAACTCTTTATTATTTGTGGAGAGAAAATTATTATTATTATATTTTTATACTAGGGAACCATTTATTCCTTTTTAAACTAAATATTATTTAGCCTTATAATCCCTTCATTAGGTGGCATGATCCATCCTTAGTGAATCATTTAAAGAATACATAAGTTCTAAAAGAGTTCGAAAAATCCATTTACCTACTTATACTATACTAATACATAGAAAAAATAAAAATATAGAAGTTTTAATGTACAAATAATATATTCAAAATTTAATATGCCAGCTTGAAAATCGAAAACCTCTGTATGTAGTTAGCGACAGAGTTTCCAATTAACTCTAAATAACAGCCTGATGTTTGTCAGTGTCCATACCTGTATAGAAAACAAATATTTAACATTAAATAATCATTAATTTCACTTCATATTTTAAAATCATATTACATGTTATTATTTCTTTAAATATTTCAATAAACTAAACTACAAAGAAAAGCTTTTTTTTTGTTATGATTACCTGATATTTTTTAGTTTAACTTATTAGTAGTAAATAATCAGAAGGAAACATAAGATTTTTTAACTTCATCATTACAGTACCAGACACAGAGATTTTGTGCCCGCATAGTAATCCTGAAGGACTGCTTTTGATAGAAGATTTTATAAATATAGATGAAGAGAAAGCATTTATAGATCTTTTCAATTGGAAGGACAACAATCCAAGCTTGAAGAACCGACAAGTCAAACATTTTGGTTATGAATTCCGGTATGGTACTAATGATGTTGATCTTAATTGTCCATTGTCTGAGAAGATTCCAAAGGAATGTGACATTTTGTGGACCAGATTAAAAAGTTATGGAATTGATTTAGATCCTCCTGACCAACTGACTGTGAACAAGTATATGCCTGGGCAAGGTAAATAATATATGATATATACTTCATAACTCCATTTATAGCCGCATAAGTGAAATCATCACCCATGAGAAGTGTAAGGGAAGTGCCATACAATCATCTCATATAACATCTCCCAGACATATATTCAGGCGGATGAAGAAAAACAGTGTCAAACAGTGTTGCCATTGTCAATCTACTTGCTGAGCATGAAAATGTTCGCCAATTCTTTTTACGACTATGTAGGCTTATGGTCAGCTGTGGACTGTTTAGTTTACTGATTGTTTGCATAACTTTTTATGGAATATTTTCTCATGCATGGAAGGTTAGAGATCTTAGCTCCTACAGCCATGAATGTAATCAAAAAGGTTTCATTTAATTAGTTAAAGAGTATTGTATTTTTTATACAATACTCTTTAATCTTGTGTTACACAGTGCACACATGATTTTTCATTTGTGTTCTCGGGCACAGTACCTACATTTTAAATTAGATGAGTTTCATTCATGTAGAGGAAGCCATATGAATTCTTCTTCATTCACAGTGGATGATGGATGATCACAAGGCATGGCTACAAAGCCACCTGCCTTGACAAGGCAGTTGGCTTGTGTTCCCATCTACTTACCTATGTGTAATGTAACCTGGAACAAATAGATAGGAATTTGGCTATAATTTAGGGTCAGGTCAAGAAGAGTTGCGATGCAAACAGAATCAAAGACTAGCACTTGGAGTTGTTGTTTTTTTTTATATAGAATGAGGGTGACAAACAAGCACACATTCCACCTGATGACAAGTGGATGCTGTGGTCCTTAGACATCTACATTTATCCTCGATTAAGAATCAAAACGCAGATGCATTGTCACCCCTGAGGACTAAGATGGAATGCCTGATTTCCAGTAAAAAAGGGTCTCCAGATCTCTACACTCACCATAGGAAACACAGCAGTATTAAGCTGCTATTTTACTCTGGAATTTTGTGGGAGCGTGGTCTTTCCCCAGTCGAGCCGACTCATTCATTCTACAACCATAATATAGCTTCACCGTGGCTCTATTACATATAAAATGTTTAAACAAGTTGAACAAATGTAGATTACATTACGAATTTAAAACCAGAACCTGCAGCTTAGTAATTGAATATTCTAACAAAGAAGTAACCAAGTCATGCAACTGTTCTAAATTCTCTTATACTCGTAGGTATACCGTCACATGTGGATAGGCATAGTCCCTTTGGGCCCACAATACTTTCGCTGTCACTAGGTTCCTCTGTAGTAATGGATTGGAAACATCTCAGTGGGAAAAATGTACCCATTATCATACCCACGAGGTCGATGCTTGTCATGCAGGGAGAAGCAAGGTATGTAGTATTCATAATTTTTTTTTTATAGAATGTTACCCTGTCTCCAGGAATTTCGCCTATACCGTGGAGCCGTTTTACATACATAAACATAGAAAAAACTGACTGAACATTTATTTGTAGTCTGTAGGCCATACACAAAACTTTTCCTATAGTTGCTTCTTATGATACTAAAGGACAAAAAGTGTGATGAATTCTTTTACGCCGCCACCACACAGCCAAACTTATTATAATAAGTATGTATATTATAATTTTATATTAGTAAATATAAAATTTTAATTGTAATTATAATATGCAACCCAATATGGACTAAGAACCCAATATGGAGTAGAGCTGTAATAATGTAAAGCTCTCAATGGCGGTGAATTGTGCAGATGGCCAGTCTCAACAGAGACTAGCCATCTGCGCAAGTTACCAGACGAGAGACAGAGTGCACGTGTGCTTTTCGCACGCATTATTTTGATAGGCTGTTACAAATGAATGAATACATAATAAATTCGTCAGATACGATTGGCAACATGGCATACAACCTCGGACCTGGGACCCCATCATCGAATACACGTCACAGGGTAACCAGCGTGTCAAAGTGATAACAAGCGACACTACGAACAGAAACACAAGGATATCCCTTACGTTTCGATGGACAAGAAGTGGGAAATGTGATTGCCCGTATAAGACGCTGTGCGATGCTTCGGACTCGACCGAGGAGTTTGACGATTCTGTGGCATCCAATCTGGAAGAGTTACATGTTCATCAGGTCAGATTATTTGTTGGAAACATATCCGTGCAGTGTTCGCTTGGCTTTGTTTAAGAAAACGTAAATACTTTAGCAAGTTTTTAACTGCATAGAACATTAGGCTCATATGCTGTTTCTCATACGGGTATTAGTGAAACGCTCCCGAAAACGACGACAGACGATAGTACTAAGCATACCTTTGATAATGGGACAAAAAAAAATCATTTTTTTACAACATTTTATTAGCTATACTCACGTACCACGTTAGTACAGCTAAAAGAAACGATAATTTCGTTTCGTTGCAAGAGGCGACAGGGGGAAACAAACCAATGATGATCAATGATGAGCAGCAACATCTTCCTAATACAACCAAAAAACTGGTTGCCAACCCATCTGCCAAGCGTGCCAGCTTTGGCGAATATCCCCATTATGAGGCAACCTATGGGAAGGTCTTAGTTCAACAGTCTGATAAATTTCAACTTAAGGTAAATAAAATGTGTTATGTTTTATCTTTAGTCTCTTGCATGGAGGTTAGAGAAAAGGAGTATGATCGCTACGTGATAAAGCATAGCCCGACTGTCCCTGATTGTATTGAGCGTGGTTGTGCAAGTTGTTTAGCATCTGATTGGAAAAATAGACTGAAAAACAATTTGCGGCAATCATCGTTATTTAAAGTACCAAAGGTAATATCTTCATACTTTATCGTTTCATAGCTGCACATTGAAATATTGAATATGTAAAATTATTATTCGCTTGATTAATCGTATTTTTTTTACTAAATTAATCTTTTTTGAACTTTTAAGAAATTGTTGAAATTAAGGTTAATTACAAGATTTGCAAGTTAGTAAATTCTCAACTTTTCTAATAATATTTATAATAATTAAAATTATAAAAAACGTAATTTATTTATTACTAAATAATAATAATTTCGTTATTTTCTTTTTTTTTTAATGATATTATATACACGTATATTAAACGTTGATAGATCATTTTAAATTAGCGCACAACAACCCACCTTTATTGAGACAACGAATTTAAAAATGTTTGAATTGAGAAAATTAGCGATCGCAGCGCCTCACTTATTTTGTCCATATTTCTGGGACACTTCTTCAGCGATCGTTCTCCTTCTCTCTAACCTCCATGCTCTCTTGTCACATGATTACTTTTTATTCAATTTAGATTTAGAAAGAAAAACTTAACATCGATTGGATTGGATTTTGAGGAAGTGAGAGATACAAGTGTCGTGCCTTTTTTGCTTAAAATTTATTGTTTTATTAAGTGTTGTTGATTTACCATAGTAAATTTTTTCTGTCTTGGTGGAGGTTTTAATATCTGTAAATTAGTAAGTGTTTGTAGTTGTGCCGTTTTTATGTAATTTTTTGTTGTAGTAATATAATGGAGGACGAACCTCCCGATCCCGGAAGGGTTCGCAATGATTCCTTTTCCTTACCCACTAACATTGATAATGTAGAATTAATTAAACGTAAACGTGCCCAAGTAAGTAACGAGTCTGCCCATCCACAAAAAATAGTTATTACCGATCCAAATCAACAGTTTCCTTCAATACAATCCTCATACACCCATCCTGATTTTCTTAATAAAAAAGTTAAGTACTCTCAAGATGATGCCGCTCCTTTTCTAGTTCACGTAAGTAAAATCTCAAATGATCAGCTGTCTGGAGTAACTCTTAAACCAATTAAATTCGGCCACTTTCTGTATCATAACAATATTAAAAATATAGTCCATGATGGAGTCAAAAAAGTTGGACGAAATAGAATATCCGTGGAGTTTAAATCAGCTGCAGATGCAAACACGTTTATCGATCACCCAGCTCTCCAAATTTCTAAATATGAAGCAACCATCCCCTCATATAGTATCACTCGTATGGGGCTAGTTAGACAAGTTCCCATAGAGTGGACACTAGAAGAATTAATAGCAGCTATAGAAATTCCCTCTGGATACGGTTCTATAATTAAAGCACGGCGACTTAATAGACGATCAGTGAGTGACAGCAATAGCGTTTCATGGGTTCCAACTCAGACGGTTGTTCTAACTTTTTCTGGACAAAAACTTCCTCCCCATATTTACTGTTTTTACACCTCAATGCCAGTGGAAAAATATGTTTTGCCACTAATTCAGTGTCATAAATGCTGTAGATATGGCCATGTTACTTCCCAGTGCCGATCATCTCCTCGCTGCTTTGTATGTGCACAGAATCATGAAGGTTTATCTTGTACTCGACAAACTCCTACTTGCCTATTCTGCTCTGGTCCCCACACCGCAAAAGACCCTACATGTCCTGAACATCTAAGGCAAAAATCTATTAAACTTGTTATGTCACAAGAAAATATTTCATATTTAGAAGCTTCAGCTAGATTCCCTCAGACAAAAAGATCCTTTGCTGATACAACAAGAATCCAGCCTCGTAATTGTTCTCAACAGACCCCTTATACTATAACTGACAGTCTTTCAACCCCTTCGGCTCAGCTCTCACAAACTGCATCATATAAAAAAACAATTTTTATCCCTCAACGTACCCGCAGCCCACCATTAAATTCTGGATATGATATGGCAGCCCATCAAGCAATTGTTGAGAATCCTAATTCTTCCCTTCCTAATGGGTGTGCTCTACTGGGAAATGACAACAACTCCTCTAGTAATGATAATTTCTGCGAACTTATGATATCAATTCTAATTAACATGATCTCCCGTTTTAGTGACACGGAACTTCCTCTCAGCTTACACCAAAAACTTACTCAGCTTTCCTCCTTAGCCCGTAACATTCGCAGTCCCGCCAATTCTTCAATGGAATTGTCGGAGTATTAGAAATAAAAAAAATGAACTCATTTACCTCATTAACAAATTTCATCCCTTCATTCTTGCCATCCAGGAGACATGGCTTAGGCCTGAATCTCATTTTAGGGTTTCAGGCTATGCATGCCTCCGGGATGATAGGAGTGATGGTCGTGCTGGCACCTCTATTTTAATTTCAAGAACTGTTACATTTTCACAAATTCCTCTCCCTTCTCATAGTCCAGCAGTAAATGCTGTTGCTATTAAGGCCCTTGATGTCTCTATTCTCTCTGTTTACATCCCTAATCCTGATGTAAATGTTTTAACAGAACTTGCAACACTTATCTCTTCTCTGTCACCTCCTATGGTTATTTTGGGAGATTTTAATATGCATCATACTGTTTGGGGCTCCCATCTGTGTGATTCACTGGCTCCCTTATTTTTAGATCTTATTGATAATTTTAATCTCTGTATTCTAAATGATGGGTCTCCTACCCGTCGAGTATCCCCATTACAAAATGTTAGAAGTGCCGTTGACCTAACTCTCTGCTCTCCAGATATTGCTTCCCTTCTTTTGTGGCAAATATTACCTTCTAGCTATGGCAGTGACCATTTTCCTATATTCATCACTCCTCCTACTTCACCTAGAATAAATTTTACATTTTGCCCAAGACTAAAGTATAATCTATCCAAAGCTAATTGGCAATTATATTCTAAAGTCTTGGAACAAGAGGTTTCAACTCTTCCCCCAATTAACAATGATAATATTGCTACTGTATATATAGAGTTCAGAAATGCAATTATTTCTGCTGCTAATAAGTCAATCCCCTTAAAAAAAACCTTTCAAAAATAATTATCCCTCCCCTCCTTGGTGGGACCAAGATTGTTCAGCAGCTTGTAGGAGAAGAAAAGAGGCTGAATTAATATACTCCCGTTCTATGACTGCAGAGAATTATATCTCTTATAAAAAAATTGCTGCAGAAACCTTAAAATTACTGTCAGACAAAAAGCGAACTGGTTGGTTTAAATTCTGTGAGTCACTGTCACCTAGGACTCCCCCATCTTTGGTCTGGAGAAATGTTAAAAAATATCGCTGTGCAGTTTCTAGTGAAAATATAATTTCTAATGATCCTTCCCCGTGGATAGATGAATTCTCTAATAAACTTGCACCACAAACAGTCCCATCTTATGATGAATGCCTAGTTTTTAATTCTGCTTTTTTAAAAACAAATGATAAATTTGATTCCCCCTTTTCTTCTCAGGAATTGTTTACTGTACTCAATGGCCTTAAAGACTCCTCACCAGGTATTGATGGGATTCCTTATTCGTTTATAATTAATAGTAGTGAGAACACTAAAACTGTCTTACTATCCATTTTAAATTTTATTTATATTACTGGTGATCCTCCTGCTGAATGGAAAACCCAAATTATTTTGCCCATTCTCAAACCAGGTAAGTCTAGCAATGACCCTTCCAGTTACCGACCTATTGCCCTATCTTGTACTTTGGCAAAAATCTTGGAACATTTAATAAAAAATCGCTTGGAGTGGTTTTTGGAAAGGAATAATCTCTTACCTAAAAGCCAATTCGGTTTCCGAAAAGGTTTAAGTACCATGGATAGCCTAAGTACCTTGGTCACAGATATTCATATTGCCTTCTCAAAACATGAATTTCTCATAGGAGTTTTCTTGGATATTTCTTCTGCATATGATAATGTGCTTCTTCCTGTGCTCAGGCAGAAAATGCTTAATCTGAGCATTCCAGTGAGGATAGTCAATTACGTCTCTAACTTTCTCTCTTCTAGATCAATATCTATAAATGTTAAAAATCTCCTGCTTCCCCCCAAAAACTATATGGAAAGGACTTCCACAAGGCTCAGTTCTTAGTCCTCTCCTTTATTCTATATATACTCACGATTTAGAACTTTCAGTAAATTCTTTTTGTAATGTTCTTCAATATGCAGACGATTTAGCTCTATACATCTCCTCAAACAACTTCACAGTGGCATGTTCCCGTCTAAACTCATCCATGGATTATTTACAAGAATGGTTAACTAATCATGGCCTCTCTTTATCTGTGGCCAAGAGTAGTGTGGTGATCTTTTCCCGCCAAAGGCGAGTTCCCGATATATCTGTTGTATATGATAAGCAACCTATTCCAGTTAGAGGCAATGTTAAATTTTTGGGAGTTATCCTTGATTCGAAATTGGCCTTCGGTCCATACATTGAATGTATAACACAAAAATGCGAAAAAAAACATAAATATTCTTCGGTCTTTGTCAGGTGTTTGGTGGGGGTCCCATCCTTTTTCTCAGAAATTACTGTACAATGCTTTAATACGAAGCCACCTTGACTATGGATGTTTTCTGTTGGAGCCTTGCAATAAATCATCCCTTAAAGTAATGGACAAAATTCAATCGAAATGCCTTCGCATTATTACAGGGGCAATGAAATCCTCACCAATAAATGTTCTTCAGGTTGAGTGCGTAGATCCTCCTTTAAGATTAAGAAGGCAATACCTTTCAGACAGATTCTTATTTAAGATCTGCCAACTTTCAGATCATCCCCTAATTCCTAAATTGCACCTTCTTTCAGAGTATATCTCATCTGACCGATACTGGACCCATAAGGACTCTCCCTGCTTGTTTAAAAGTTTTGTAATTTTTCTTCAGCTTCCTTACCCAATCTTTCAATGCAAAATAAATCCACTCTTTGATGTTCCTTACGAGGCTATTGTTTACCAACCCGACATTCATCTAGATCTAGGTATAGAAAAGGATTCTCCAATGGCAAATTTGAAATTAAAAGAAATTATAGAAAACACCTTTAAAGATTGGCTTGTCATGTACACAGACGCTTCAAAACATTCTGATGAAGACTATACTGGAGCTGCTGTTTGGATTCCTAAGTTCAAAATCATTCTTAACTTTAAATGCCCCTCACTTTCCTCCACTTTTACTGGTGAAGCAACTGCAATCAGTGAAGCTTTGTTATATGTAGAGTCACATAATCTTAATAAAACAGTTATTTTCACAGATTCAAAAAGTTGTTTGTTAGCTATTTTGTCCAATCAATTCCATAACAAACATAAGTTTCCACTAATTCTTAAAATAAAAAATACCCTATTCAGATGCCATCTTAAAGGAATCCATGTTTCAGTGGCCTGGATTCCAGGCCACAGTGGTATCCATGGTAACGAAACAGCTGATGTACTCGCTAAAAATGCAATTGCTAATGGCATTCTACAAAATTTAATTTACTCACATGACCTAATTTTGCTAGCTAAAAGGAAACTGAATGAAAATTGGAATAAATTATGGGAAGTTTCCAAAAATGTTAAAGGTAAGCACTATGCTGCCATCCAAGAGGTTATTCCTCCCAAGCCTTGGTTCTTTAAATTTAACAAAGCAAATAAACATGCAACTTCAATCATTTGTAGATTAAGAATTGGACACGCCTGTACACATGCACATCTGGCAAAAATCAGAGTAAGGGATAGCTCATTGTGTGAATGTGGCTTAGATGAAGGTTCCACAAACCATATTTTTTTCAACTGTCCCAAATTATCCTCCTCCCTTTATGATTACCTTCCTCCTTATATTCCTCGACCTATAGATTTTAATTCTCTTTTAACATATACCAGTACTCCTTTTGTGTATATTTTATGTGATTTTATTAATACTAATAATATGAAACTTTAAATCCTTGTCACTTTTAACATACTGGTAAGAGTCTAACACCTGTGTTTGTCATATTTGTTCTAGGTAATTCAACAAATAGATTTGTCAAAATTCTCGGAGGAAAACTGAATCCTTGTATTATCACAGACTCTTATTTTAATTAAACTCATAAGCTTTCATTTTCTACTCAATACGTCATTGGCGAATTTTATCAAACCGCCACAAAAGAAAGAAGAAGAAGAAGTAGATTTAGAAACCTAATATGAAGTCATTAAAATATTCTTGGAATAAGTGTGTTATATCATTTAGTGGCGGTGTAAGAATATCCACTCCCCCATATCACCCGGTGGGTGTCGTAAGAGGCGACAGAAGGAAACAAATCAGACGGCAGCAGCGTCTCCCTAATAACGACTAAAAATAAACAACTGCGGTTGCCAACCTGCTTGCCAAGCGTGGCAACTGTGGCAAATATCCCCTCTATGAGGCAATCTGTGGAAGAGGCCTACATTCAGCAGTGGACTGTAATAGGCTGTAACGGTAACAGTAAGTCTAATTCTGGACGAAAGTGTGGTTTAGTAACTATTCCCGAAAATGCTAGCTACTCTTAAAATTGCAAAAATGGTAAAACATAAAATTAATTTATTCTCAAATAAATTGCGGGTTATACTAAGAATATAATTTACTCTCGTTTGGGCAAATGAACCCTTATGGAAATAATTAATTGGGATAATTCAGTTATGTAGTTAATATAAAACAATATTTATTTCCTTACAAAGACTATAAAATAATACATCATATAGTTTAAATAAAATATCTTGATCAACATTTTGTTTTAAGTAAAATTATAAAATATTTGACTCCAAAAATTATGTGTTTAACATTACATTACGTTATCATATAATTTCTATAGAAATTTTTGTTTCGACAACTCCCAAAGTAATTCAGTTTTTACATTTGCAAAAATCTAAAAAAAATCCAAATGCCGAATTTGTTGTCACCCGTGAGGACTAAGATGGAATGTCTAGTTTTCAGTAGAAAAAGGTTCCCGTTTTTCTACACGCACCATACGAAACACGATAGCATTAAGATGTTATTTTACGCTTGTGTTCCGTAAGACCGATGTATTAGTAAGCTAAAGTGGCCACGATCCGGATCGAAAAACAGACAACCGATGGGGCATGAAAGGTTCTCGAATAGTAGTATCCTACCAGTAGACGAAGTATAGGGCGTTCCATCATTAGATGGAGTGACGGTACCTGGTAAGACATGCAAGAAGTTGACGGCTGGCGCCTGCCACCTGCATCCATGCTTGCTTTGTGGTATTCCTTAGGGGAGGCCTATATTCAGCAGTGGATGACGAGTCCGTGACAACGTGGTCCTTCCCCATTTGTGCTACAAGTATAACGGGCTGGTGTGGTGCAGGTGTACGAGCGTATCGCACAGCACTTCAGCAGCACTCGGCACTCCGCCTGGCCGCGCGTGCTGCAGTTCCTACGCGCGGTACCGAGTGGTGCTGTGCTGCTGGACCTTGGAGCTGGGAACGGCAAGAACCTGCTGCACCGCACCGACATTCTCCAGGTATGGATGCATCTGTGTTACAGTTACCGTTACAGCCTACTAAAGTCCACTGCTGGACGTGGGCCACTCCAGTAGTTGCCATGCTTGGCAAGTGAGTTGACAACCGCAGTTTTTGACGCTGCTGCCTGTCTCCTGATCTGTTTCCCTCTGTCGCCTCTTACGAAATCCACGGGATGTATTTTTGTGTATTCATATATTTATATGTACGTTACTATTACGTACGTTCGGGCTCGCTGAAAGCCGTCGCTGTTGTTTCGACGACGGCGATAAGCTGAGTGAGGTACGTTTACCTAACCCGCCACAACACACAACACAAGGAACATAGTTTTACTGTAATTTATAACTATCCCTACTATACTTTTTTAACAACTAAAAATAAAAAAGAACTGTGGTTGACAACCCGCTTGCCAAGCGTGGCAACTATGGTAAATATCAATATATGGAGGAGGCCTGTGTTCAGCCGTAGACTCTAATAGGATATGAGATGTCTCAGCATCCGTTTACCATCAGGCTTCGTCGGTGTTCGTTTGCCGCCCTTGAATTTAAAGAAAAAAATTTGAGCGTCATACTCGTCCCATGTTATTGCTTGAGTTGTCCACGTGTCTTGACCTCTTGTGATACAATACTATCTGACATGAATAATCATTTAAATTTTTTTGTTTGGCTTTCCATTTGGGCTAATTTTCAGAATAGCCGAACCGAATGCGATGAAACCTTACAAACGTATAGAGAGCAATGACAATAGACAATATATTTTAAAAAATCGAAAAACTCTTTAATGATGACCTTAAATCGATAGTTTAATGTATAAAGAAACATTAGGATATACTCTGAAAGTTAATCATTGCTTTCAGCAGCAGGCGGATTATCTCAAGGGTCATAATAAATAGATTGCAGGTGAACGCAGCAGTGGGCTGCTGAACGAGTGCAAGAGCTACGTTAGTGAAGTGGGCACCGTGGACTGTGTGAGGCTGGACCTGCTGCAAGCCGGACTGAGAGACAGCTGCGCGGACTTCATCATTTGCATTGCGGTCATACACCATTTCAGCACCCAGGTTACTTAACTATGTTATCGTTCGTGTCCGTATAGGAGAAAAAAACTTCTTTGACTGCTAGAAGGTGAAGCCGAAACGCTTGCCGAATTTTGAAGTATGAGGAGTTGTTAAATTCTGACACAAGCTTTCATTTTATATTGATGTAGACTCAGTATTACTACAGGCTGTGGGCTACATGCTCATTGTAATGCTAATATGTTGAATAAAGTGTTTCTTATGAGAAGAAATAAAAATAATAGAAGAAATAATGCTGTGTTGTGGCGGCGTGGATAATCGACCACATCATTCCGCCCTGTGAGTGTAGTGTACTTAGAGGCGACTATAGAAAATACCGGAAAAATGTTATGGTTTCCAACAGATGACCGCAAGAGGCAGCTAGGTAGCCAGAGTATAATACGTCTGCCAAGCATGACGATTAGTGCATATAAATTAGTGATGGGCCTAATATGGATTTCACCGAATACAAATATTCGGCCGAATATTCGGTAAAATTTTTACCGAACCGAATATTCGGCCGAACATTATTCGGCAGGATAACCTCGGGACCCAACCAATTTATGTCAAAACTTGTTACCGTAAAGCACACGGGATTAGCGCCGGACCCTGCCTCTCGCCCCCCGCCACACCTGACATGTTATTGCATTATCTAGTACTGAGCAAATTGCCGGCACATGCTTATGTTTTGACTGTTCTTGTGATAAAAAAGTATTTCGTTGTTTTATTCTTAGCGAAAATTGATAATTATATGATAAAAATGAGCGGCAGGAGATTTACTGTTTGGACTTATTTTAGAGAAACTGACGACCAAAGTAAAGTGAAATGTACTAATGTAATGTAATGTTTCATTGTTTGCTATAATCGGAAATAAATCCACAGTGCCTCAAAAACATAAGGTCAGGTGGGGTAACAGCAATATACTTTATTTTCAGTAAAATATTTTCACTGCTAGGAAGAACAGCTAAAGTCTTTTAAGATCTTTGAAACAAACAAAACTTGCCTTTATGTATTAACTTCACATGTGCAAAATATCATTATGCTATTATCAGTTCTTACGTCGATATTGACGTAAATGCCAAGATTAAGTAAACGTTTCTCTTCCCCCTCACATGGGGTAAGAGGGACAGTCATTGTATTTCTTAAGATTGGAGTTTGAATTAAAATATTCTTTGCTAAATGTTCGTTAATTTGTAGGTAGAACTGCTTAGGTCAAAATTAGATCTTACTATCGATGAAATAAGGTATCGTTTGGAATGAAAAAGAAGAATAAATTAATTTGAGGTAAGAGGGACATACAGGTTCGATCAGGGGTGGCAAACTAAAAAGAAGTCGAAAGTTATATTTCTATATTTATCATACAAACAGTAATATAACTCCCTAGCTGGTTTTCACTAGTTACTCTTTAGAAATAACAATGGCACTTTGGATTTTAAACCTTTGCGGTCGTATAAAGTTTTGATGCGGTGTATGCAGATATTGTGCTATTTTTACCGCATTGACAGCCTCATTTAATTTATCATTAACATATCTGCTTCTATCAGATTTTCTTATATATTTTCACAGCATGTTTTATCATATATATGTATATCATTCCTGCAACAGTCAAAGGTGCTATAATATAACAAAACATTACAATTAAAAAGAAAGGGACGTATACAAAACGCATGAAACTTTATTTATCTGAACTAATTTAATAAAAAGAAAACATTTGATTTTTTATTTGTTTGTTATAATTTAGAAAACTCAAAAACTATAAGCCCGATTTAAAAAAATATTTAACACAAAAATAGTTAAACTGCACGTGGACGAAGTTGCGGGAAATTTCTAGTTTAGTTACAATTTAAAATTGTAGTACAAAATAGTCAGTCAATTCTTTTCATTTAATCTACCTATAATTATAAATTATTCAAAATGTGTGTAACCCCTGACATGGTGTAAAAGAAACATATGTTCCTCTTTCACCGTGAGTAGTGAGCCTCTTACACCAGCTATTGCTTTTGGAGGTTCATATTTTCCAGCAAAAGAAACTCATATTATTAGTTGTTTTTAAACTAAAATGATTAATAAAAAGAAACAATTACAGTTTTCTCCATATATCATTACATTCAAAATATTTCCAGCACTATTTTTTACTAAACTATTGGTTCGCAAAAAAAACACGCTAACTTTGTACTAGTCGAATTTACAACTGTCAAACGTGTCTTCATTTTTGTGGCTTCTGAGTCACGTAGCGATATCTATTGAAAACCGTTCAAACTATTTCACCTTCACTGTTTCATTGAAGAAAAGTTCGTAGTCATACGCACTTCGGTTTACTAGTTATGGTCCCTGGTCCCTCTTCCCCCGGTGTCCCTCTTACCCCACCTGACTTATTGATTTATGCATTTGAGGCACTCTAAAGTAAGTAGATTTAACCCATAAATAAAATATACTTTCAACAGTTAAAGACATCGCGGTACTCAATTCTTACATTTCAATACATTGGACACTATAAAAACGAATGTTCGGTGATTTAGCCGATTAATCGGCCGAATACGAATATTCGGTAAAGCTGTCGAATATGCCGAATACCGAATATAAAACGAATATTCGGCCCATCTCTAATATAAATTCACCCTACATATATATTTATTATATTATATGTGTATGTGTGTACGCGCGCGTGTGTGTATGTATGTATAATCCCTGTGCTGGGTCACTATTTTTACCGTCTGGAAAAAAAGGTGTAACAGGTGAACGGAGTAGAAGCCTGTGGCACTGATATTTTACAAATAATAAGGACAAGCATTTTAAAATAAATAAATGAATCATTTAAAATCTATCGAAATTCAAATCATATCCACCATACTTTACGAGGGGCAATAAAACAATAAAGGACATTGCTCCGCGCCCATACATTGTCGCCCTGGAACCAAGAGCATCGGAAAATTGTGTGTTGTATTGTCAATCATTAGGGAATTCCTATACAATCTTACTTTTATAGCGAACTAGCTGCAGAAAATATATATTTCAAAAAAAGTATCAGATTTTGAGGTTATAATAGAACTACTAATATCATGGTTTTTATCATTTAGTAGGATTTTTAAGAAACACAAACATTTAACAATTTTTGGTACCGTCTTCCAACAACATCAAACCACTAGCAGAGCCACAATCCACACAAAATATACTTTCCATTGTATATACGTAACAAACGGAATATAATCACTATGCTTAAGAGGTGGGACTCCCTTAGTAAAAACAAATGTATGAAAGAGCGATAAACTACTCTACCAACAGTGCTGACAACATAAGCGAATTATACTAGTGCTGTATATGTCTATCCGCGAGTAATTTTACCGATATATTGTTTATCGTTATTTTTTTTATAGAATAATCTTGACAAACAAGCACACAGTCCTCCTGATATTAAGTGGATGCTGTGGCCCATACACATTTACATTTAACCTCGTTGAAGAATCAAAATGCAGATTCGTTGTCACCCTTGAGGACTACGATGGACTGCCTCGATTCCAGTAAAACGGCGCTCCGGTTCTCTCACTCACCATAGGAAACACAGCAGCATCAAGCTGCTATTTGGCGCTGGTATTCTGTGAGAGCGTGGTCCTTCCCCGGTCGCGCCGACCCATTCGTGCTATAACCATAATATAGCTATAGCTAGGCTCTACCACATATATAAAATAAAATGACGACTCCGTAGCGCAGTGGTTGAGCGTTTAATTGCAGCAGTGCAGGACCGAGGATTCGTTCCCGCACTGAACAAGTGTTTTTATGCAGTAAAATAAATAGTCTGCGTCTGTATGCTTGTTTTTAACATTTAAAAAAAGGTAAACATATTGTTTTTTTTTAACATTGATTGAATTAATTTACTTTTAAATCTAACAAATACCATGTACAAATCACTCGACTTCTTCACAGAAGTACATACTACTCGCGGAGATCGCTTAATAATAGTCGCTTTCAAAATTAGTGCTCATTATAGCTAAGTACCCGGTTAACCGAGCTTTGCTCGGTATTTTTCGCTCGGTTTTTTTAATTCGTGTGTTTTGGAAATTATATTTAGATACAAATTACATACTGATGAAATACGAATAATATTTTTTGATCTTAGCGACATAATAGAAAAAACTGAACTGGTTTTAAACGTTTCTCTTCCCCCTCACATGGGGTAAGAGGGACAGTCATTGTATTTCTTAAGATTGGAGTTTGAATTAAAATATTCTTTGCTAAATGTTCGTTAATTTGTAGGTAGAACTGCTTAGGTCAAAATTAGATCTTACTATCGATGAAATAAGGTATCGTTTGGAATGAAAAAGAAGAATAAATTAATTTGAGGTAAGAGGGACATACAGGTTCGATCAGGGGTGGCAAACTAAAAAGAAGTCGAAAGTTATATTTCTATATTTATCATACAAACAGTAATATAACTCCCTAGCTGGTTTTCACTAGTTACTCTTTAGAAATAACAATGGCACTTTGGATTTTAAACCTTTGGGGTCGTATAAAGTTTTGATGCGGTGTATGCAGATATTGTGCTATTTTTACCGCATTGACAGCCTCATTTAATTTATCATTAACATATCTGCTTCTATCAGATTTTCTTATATATTTTCACAGCATGTTTTATCATATATATGTATATCATTCCTGCAACAGTCAAAGGTGCTATAATATAACAAAACATTACAATTAAAAAAGAAAGGGACGTATACAAAACGCATGAAACTTTATTTATCTGAACTAATTTAATAAAAAGAAAACATTTGATTTTTTATTTGTTTGTTATAATTTAGAAAACTCAAAAACTATAAGCCCGATTTAAAAAAAAATTTAACACAAAAATAGTTAAACTGCACGTGGACGAAGTTGCGGGAAATTTCTAGTTTAGTTACAATTTAAAATTGTAGTACAAAATAGTCAGTCAATTCTTTTCATTTAATCTACCTATAATTATAAATTATTCAAAATGTGTGTAACCCCTGACATGGTGTAAAAGAAACATATGTTCCTCTTTCACCGTGAGTAGTGAGCCTCTTATCCCAGCTATTGCTTTTGGAGGTTTATATTTTCCAGCAAAAGAAACTCATATTATTAGTCGCTTTCAAAATTAGTGCTCATTATAGCTAAGTACCCGGTTAACCGAGCTTTGCTCGGTATTTTTCGCTCGGTTTTTTTAATTCGTGTGTTTTGGAAATTATATTTAGATACAAATTACATACTGATGAAATACGAATAATATTTTTTGATCTTAGCGACATAATAGAAAAAACTGAACTGGTTGTTTGAATAAAATATCATGAGTGCAATTAGTTTAATTTAAATTTTCGTGTTTTTTTAAAAATACTAAAAAAGGGCTCGAAAAAATAGATTTTCTCAAAAAAAAAGGAACTTTAAAAATAAATTAAAAAAGTGGGTCGGTCGGTCTGGGCTCGAACCATGGTATTACGATTTTGTGACCACCCGATATATCAATTAAGCTATGTATTTCATTCATTAATGAACTGTCAAAATTTACCTTCTTATTCTAACGATATTGTAGCAGTTTTTCATTGCCTAAAACACGGACAAAAAGACATTTTTTAAAAATTAATCCTAGCTAGATCGATTTATTGCCCCCCGAAACTCCCTGCACACAAAATTTTATGAAAATCGTTGGAGCCGTTACCGAGATTCCGATTATATATATATATATATATATATATATATATATATATATATATATATACACACACAAGAATTGCTTGTTTAAAGGTATAGGATATTTGTGGGTGAATTTATTAAAAAACAGTAAATATTTTTTTATGGATTCACCTACAAACATTGATTTTGCACACCGTTTCGAAAATCACAGCCGCGACTTGTTTTTGAAAGCAATCAGAGTCCGTTAAAATAGCCAAATCGTAATATTCAATAAATAGTCCTGAAAGTCACCAAAACACACCGATATAAACCGAAATCGCTTCAGTATTATTCTAACTACCTATTTAAAATCGAGTATGACATCATTATAGTAGGTGTAACGTATAGAAATTTATAGTGGTGTATAACTCTGTCGTCTCGAGAAGCGCACGCGCGGAATCGCGGGGCGGGGCGGCACTGCCCGACCGACCGCCGCAGGGAGAAGACGTGGACGCTTACTACGAGCCGATATCAGTGTATAATAATAGTGTTACTTGTAATATATACTACTTACAATTACAATAGTGTTACTTGTTCTTTCTAAATATTGATCCCTGGGATCTATAGTACATTACAGTAACTTTTTTTACTGTAGTTTCTATTTGCAATTTATTCAAAATAAATTAAAAATGTGATTCAGATTAAAAAATATGCAACAGTTCATTAAAATTCAAAAGATCAATGTGGATATCCCACATTCATTCTCAGTTAAGAATCAAAATGCAAATGCGTTGTCACGCCTGAGGACTAAGATGGAATGAGGCATTCCAGTAAAAATGTTCTCCGGTTCTTTACATTTACCATACGAAAGACAACAGCCTTTAGCTGCTATTTTACGCCAGTATTCTTTGAGAGCGTAGTCCTGATCCGGTCGAGCCGACCCATTCGTGCCACAACTATAATAATACTTCAGCATGGCTCTCTCACGTAAATGATTTCAAACAAATTACCACGCGTAAATGATTTGATTTCAATTTTCTGTTTTTCCTGTGCAGTCTAGAAGAGCACAAGCAGTGGCCACAATTGCGCGGTTACTGAGACCGGGCGGCCGAGCCCTCATCACAGTGTGGGCCAAGGACCAGACCAGGTCCAACTATCTCTGCAGAGAGAAAGATAAAGAAGTTCACAGCAACAGTACAGTCGAGGTGGCCGGACTGACACTACCGGTCCACGAGAACAGAACCCAGTTCCAGCACAAGGACCTTCTCGTGCCCTGGAAACTGCGCGGCTTCAAGGAGAACAAACTGGCCGACAAGCCCGAGAGCACCTTACTTAGATTCTATCACGTTTTCGAAGAAGGCGAGCTGGATGAGCTCTGTGAGCTGTCCAGTTTGCTGGTGGAAAGTAGTTTTTATGAAGAGGGAAACTGGTGTGTTGTTTGTAAAAAAATATAAACTTTAATTGATCAAGTTTGTTTTTATTTTATACATTTACCTCAACAATAATTTACAAACAATAATGTTAACAATAAATACGATACTGTACATACAAAAAATAACTACAAAAACGTGCGTGATAGTGCTAATAGAAAATATTCTAGTTTTAATCGACAATGAGCGCGATTAGAATAAAACTAGAACAAATTTCCCATAAAATAAAAGAACCTTAATCTAATACTGAAGAAAGTAACAGAAATTTACCCAACAGTAACAAAGTTGGCAAGTAAAGCTTAAGCTTTACTTGCCAACTTTGTTACTGTTGGGGCGAGGCTCTTTATCTAATTGTCTTAGAATCAGCTCGAAAGGGGTACTGGCTTCCTCTTGTCATAAAATATTGTAGTTTTTATAATATGCAATAACCGTTTTGTTTTTCTACTTTAAACAGTTTGACCGAATCTTTTTTTTAGCTTTTATTTACTCCACGACGATTATACTTCCAAGACTATATAAAGTTCGCGCGTTCTATCTTGGTCGGACTGAAGTTGGCCAAGATAGAACGCGACAGTAATACAATACAAGATTGATTTTACTGTTGGTTGGACAGTAAAAGCAATCTTGTAAATTCTAATTTATCAATATTGATAATTTTGCCTCAATGTACAATCTATTTATCAATGCTATTAATTTTTAGTCATACACATCGGTTACACAATTTTTTTGGTGATAAAATGGTCAAAAATTAATATAAATAATTAATTATCCATTATTGTTTCAAGTTGCCATGCTCTTCAAACCTATTAAAAGTTGAAAAATTCGAATTTGGAATCATGGAATTGTAACACGGAATCTTTATCGTCTGCATTTAGAAAGTACCTACTTATTTTTTTTAAACCAGCCGAATTTCAATCATCGTTTATATTATATACATTACTGAGAGACACGATAGAAAGTTCGTAGATATTCGCACTTCAAAGAGCACAAAATATTTATTTTAGTGCAGTGTGAAAAAATTATGACGTATCACGCTTACACCCTACAGCTTTAATTAACAATATTCTAAGGTTTCATCAAAGCTAGTTGTAATAATGGAACTACAGATATAGTAGACAGATCTGCCAGCACGGCGTCTACATTCTGGATAGTGTTCACTTGGAATATATTCTCCTTTCTGAAACTCAAAATGGCGACCGCGAGTAAAGGCAGGATGTCCAAGCAGTCGTAGCCCAAGATCGCGTCCCATAAAAACAAAAGCTGGTCCGGTGGAAGATGGCCGCTGAACGCTCGCATGAGCCATTTGAATACCACTCGTATACTGAACAGATAACAGTTGTATTAGAGCTTTTATTTCTCAGTTCCTACTCCATCAAAGAAAAAAAATGAATTTAAACTTACGGGTTGATATTAATATTTCTGAAGTGTATCCAAAGTAATGGTTCGTTAGCTTCTAATAGCCTTTCGTACAAAAGGCACAGTGAAACAATACCCTGTAATAAATCGGACTTAATATTTTTACAATAAAGTGATTCAAAGCTCATTAAAAAAAAGCATGAACATGGCGAAACAAATAAAAACTTATGTAATACATAGTTAACGTTACAGCCTATTAAAGTCACTGTTGAACACAGGCCTCCCCCATATATTGCCGCATAGGAGGTATATTTGTTATAGTTACTACGCCTGACAAGCGGGTTGGTAATTGCAGTTTTTTTTTTTAATTTTAGCCGTGATTAGGAAGACGCTGCTGCCTGTTACCTGATTTATTTTCTTCTGTCGCCTCTTACGACACTCACGGGATGATATGGAATAGTGAATATTCTAACACGACCACTACACGGTAATTCAGTAATAAGGTACGTGAAGGTAATGTGGTCACCTTAAGCTTTACCGCCCTATAAAACCAAAACTAGGAGAAGGACGGAGACAAAAACACAAAGTCGTATACTATAACTAAAATATTAATTAAAAAATAGCAAACAAGTTTTGGCAATAATTAGGAACACTTCGAAAAATCTACTTAAAAAAACTAACTACACCATACTAAAATCGACTAAAATATTTATTATAATTATCAACTGTCAAAATGGTGTCGATAAAGCAATAAAGCATCGCCTTTCTCACCCTTTATTATTTGATTGACCGAAGATGAACTATTGTATCACAAAGCCATCTATGCAAACAAGGCTGTAGTTTGTGAGTTATAAGAAAGTGACCATATTAACCGGATGACCATATTACCGTCACGTACTATATGCTTCAATCTAATAAGTATGTTATTTTTGAAGAAATATTTTTTGCTGTTTTGACTCTAGTATAGCAGGGTATTACATTAAATACGAGGGTTAGCAACCTAACGACATCCACGTGAAGTAATCAGAGCTCACGATCACATAGGTCGAATATACCTGGGGATGTGTTGAAATGTAATGCAGTCGATGCCAGTAGCGGATGTAGAAAGCCCGGAACGTATAGTAGAGTTGCACAGGATCGTCGTACAGGTAACAGAACGGAGTGGCTGACAATAGAGAAACGAACAAATTGAAGCCTTCGTTATAATGATGTTTTCACACTCATAGGCGATTTTCGTTCATTACCATTGAAGGAATATGTAAATACGTACTACTAGAACAGTTACCGCAAACAAAATCTTTGCTACAATGCGGGGCGAGTGGAAGGAGGCACTATGAAGTACTTATAAGTACTTTTTTTATTGCACAAACAATAGAATAGACATAAGCAAACTATTGTGTATACTCTAAGTCACAAACTAAGTAAGTTTGAGCCCGCGGGTTTTAAAGCGTGTTGCAAACAACTGTGTCTGCGATCACAAATTAGATCATGTTTATTACGAGAATCTTCCAGCAATCAGAAGCTAATGTGTTTCAGAGTTGCGTATAAAATTTTCGCTGTGGGACGAGAGTCCGTAACGATGATATCTCTATTATAACCAGAATAATCGACATAGTCCAATGGATTCAATGGGTCGACCACATATCTCGATGAACCGACAACCGACGGCGACGAAAGGTTCTCTCGGACCCGTTAACAAAGTGTAGGGCAGTCCCCCATAGTTGGAGTGACGACCTGGTGACACGTGTAGGAAGTCGATGGATGCAGGTGGGTCACGACCGTGCTTTGTGTCATTATTTGAGAGTTCTATATTCAGCTGTAGACTTGGAATGTGCTCTAACGATGAAGATGATCTACTGCGCAGGATAGATAGCTATATTATTTACTACTATAAACAAATAACAAATATCCCATAAATGGTAAGTGGTATATATTATGGCCGCAGATTAAAGCGCACAGACTTAGCTAAAAAAGCCTTTTATAGAATAAGGCAACAAACGAGCACACAGTCCACCTGATGGCAAGTGGATGGTGTGGCCCATAGACATCTACATTTATCTACATGATGCACATGTGCTGTCACCCCTGAGGACTAAATGGAATGCGTTGTTTCTAGTAAAAAGGATTTCCAGTTCTCTACAGTCGCCATACGAAACACAGCAGCGTTGTTTTTACGCTGGTATTTTGTGAAAGTTTGTTCCTACCTCTGTCAAGTTGTAAAGCAGATCCATTTGTGCTACAGTCTCAATACAGCTGTAGCATGGCTGTACTACGTCGAATAACTGTTGGATATGTGCCAATGAAATTGTGGTAAGAAAATATGCCCATACACGGCAGCCGAATAGGAGGTATAAAGACTTAAATTTGCTTTACTTTATAAGTATACTAAATGATATAAAGATATAAATATCTATCCGCGCCCATGAAGGTCTTCAACTATGTGTTATCTGTTTGTTCATTCTCCTTAGTCTAAATCTAAGAACAATACAGCAGCTACTCACCATACATAGTGAATCCGTGAAAGGGTATGATACCACTCGGCGGGAAGACAGTGACGCTGTCGGGCGACGTTTGCTTACCCTTGATGGTCACCGTTAGAGGGTTGCCTATGCTACCTTTGAGTTGCTGCAATACCTCACCGTCCCGTGAGAAACACAACATTACCTGAAACGTTTTAAAAAAGTGAAGACTTCTTTTTATCAAGATTCTATGTTCTACGCGCGCGCAAATTAAATATAACAAACTATAGAGCGTGGTAGTTTAGGGGTTAAGAGCTCGCTGTAAAAGTTAGAGTAAAGCAATCCGAGCACCAGTTAATTGCAATTTTAAGTGCTAATTTACTACGTGCTTGGCGGTGAAGGAAAAAATCGTGTGGGAACCTGCATATCTGAGAAATAGGACAAAAAATTTTTTTGAAGATATGTGAAGTTCGCCAAGACGCATTGGGTAGCGCGGCAGACATTTCCTTGGCCTAAAACCCTATCAGAAATAAGAGAAGTTCTGAGTGTGTACTTTACTTTTTACTTTTTTTCAAACTGTAATCTAATTGCGTACTATCGTCAATAGTGTTTTGTAAGTTGTAGAGAATAGGAGATCCTTTTGAAGCGACTTCAAAAAAAGGAGGAGGTTCTCAATTCGACTGTATTTTTTTACATGTGTTACCTTAGAACTTTTTTCTAGGTTAACCGAATTGGATGATACTTTTTTTATTTAAAAGCTGGTGCTTCTCATGTGGTCCCATATAGATCAAGATAGTAGTTTACCAGTAGTTTTTGAGTTATCCTTAATAATGCGTATTTAATTGACTTCGACTACATTATTGATGATGTTCTCATTTTATTTACGAGTATATTGATGTCGGTTGTACAAAATTTTTAATTTTACCACTTGTTACTTGAAACGAGGCGTTACATCTTAGTCCTTAGGAGTGACAATGTGCTCGTTTGTCATCCGTAATCAATTAGGAAAGGATTGCACTTGCAATAAAGTTGAGCAACTGCACGTTTGGTTCGCACTGCAGCGAGACGAAAGAATATCTGCAGTCAAATTGTAATTTCAAACGACTTCAAATAAAAAGGAAGAAGGTTCACAATTACGTCTACTAAGGCGTCGCCACTTAGGAATGAGATGAAATATTTGTCAGATTTCACAGGGGGTAAGTTAAGTTG